TTTATTCAATTGAACTCGGAAGTTATTTTATTCAAGCTACGATTTGAACTCTTTATATACATGTTTTGTTACTATCAATTGCTTTCTGACATTTCCACTCTATCTACCAAATAGGGTCGATATGCTATATCTGCTATATATGGCATATTTGGTAGGTATTACCAAGACCAATTTTGGACGAATCGACCCAAGCCACCTTAGCGTCGATTTACACTTTCACAGACTCCCGACCTTATTTTCGAGTTCCACGAGAAAAACCATAACAGATAAGAAAAAGTAAAACAAAGATATGAAATGAGAAAAAAGAGAAAAAAAAAAAAATTTTTTTTTTAAAACTTGTTTTTATGGTGCCACGTCTGCAAAGTCTTCGTCCCTAGGTTCACCAGTAGAGTCTTCCTCCGCATGGGGCAAGGACCTTAGGGCAAGGGCAATTTGGATCAATTGTTGATATTCATGGTGCGTCAATGTTGCGATTTTGGATAAATTCATATAGGAGGTACGGCAAATTTGTTCCACACCGAAGAGTTCAAAGATATTGTACACTCGAATGGTGGCCGTATAATAATGTTTTGTCATCTTTGCTTTTTGCAGGGTCCTTTGAGCTGGTGTTAATTGTTCGATTAATTCACCCAGATAGTACGTATAGGTCAATCCACCGATGTGATGTCCTGACTAGAGGATCTTACAAGAGATCGATAAGTGGTCTCCATCTTGGTTTCGACGGTGTCCAATGCGTTATAAGGAATTGGTAGCGGTGTAACATTAGTGGGTGCAAGGTTAACAAGTCATTGACAAGGAGATTAATGTTGACGGGCATGGTTATATTCTAGATAAGTATAGGTCCTTATCATGGTATATTTTTTTTTATTTTTTTTTTTACAAAAGCATCTATTTATAGATTTCGCTTATAATATAATTTCAATTGCCTTTTGTTGGCAGGAGCTACCAGTACTCTTCCATTTAGTTCCCGCAACTTATACGCGCTATTCGTGAGGATAGTATGTATATAATATGGGCCCTTCCATTTTGGTCGAAACTTATGACTACGCGTACCCATTATTCACGAATTATAGACTAATACTTTGTCACCAATCGAAAAATTAGGTGTGGCTTTGAGGTGTTGATCATGGAGTTTTTTTTGTTTCTGCTGGGCTGTTTGAAACTGGTGTAGCGCCATTTTACGAGCTTTTGGGAGATCATGATCGATCTCGTAGATCCTTTGAATGATTGATCCATCTAACAATTTGTCAGACGAACTAGGATGTATGGGTAATTGGGCGTTTCTTCCATACATCAAGTAAACCGGTGTTTCTTGGGTGGAGGCTTGTTTTGCCGTTCGATACGCAAATAGGATGGGTGAGATTAATAAATCCCAATCTGTTACATTTGTGACTAATCGTGAAATGGCTTTACATAACGTTTTATTGAAGCATTTTACCAGCCCATTGGTCTGTGGGTGATATGGAGTCGAATAATGGTGTTTGATTGACAAAGCCGCAAGTAATTCATCTATCAAACGATTCTGAAAATGCAATCCACAATCTGATAGTATGATATTTGGACATTAGTGTCTGCATACTATCTCCTCATAGACAAATTTAGCCACCTTCTCAGCATCATCTGTAGGAATTGCGCGAGCCTCAGACCATTTAGTCATATAATCGGTTGCTACAATTATGTATTTATTTAATCGCAGGGTTACTGGCTATATCGATTCCTATTCTATGGAACAGGGCTATGGCAGGTATTGGATGCAACAATTCTTTTGATTTGCGATCGCTTTGTTTCTAACAATTTTCACATGTTTTAACATATTCTCTTATATCATTATACATCTGAGGCCAATAATAATGGCTGCATAGCTTATTGAACATTATTTTGGTCCCGAAATGTCCTCCTGTTAGATGATCGTGAACCAAGGCTAGTATTGAGTCAATTTCGCCTTCCCTTAATACTTTTAATGGGCTATTTTCTTGTTTTCGATTTTTCTTATAAAGTAATCCTTTCCTTATGATGAAGAATTTCTCTTGGGCTTCTAATCTTCAGTGTTGATCTTTACTGTAATCGGGTGGGTACTGTCTGTGTATAATAAATTTTTTTAAGATTGCATATTGTTGCTGGTCTATTTTTATTTTTATTTTTTTTTTGAATCTAATACTAGCGGTTTGTTTCAATTATTAGTTAGCGCTGGGTTGTATGGTCGAATGCCAATTGCTTCAATAATTTTATACGATTCTTTTATATTTTCGGTTCTATCTCCTTTTTTTTGAAGATCGGTCCTGACAATTCTAGATTTATTACTAGATAAGTATCTCACTGGTTTTGTTATCTAGCCGTTTTGTCTTTCCTACGTTGGACTAATTCATTTTTTTTTGAATTCTAGATCCCGATCAGTCTAAGATGAGTACTTTACTATTATTATTATTATTTGTTGTTTTTTTTTTTTGATCCAATTCTGTGAACTAATCGCCCTTCTCTTTTTGAACTTGCGCCAGGACACCAACTACCTGGACCGAATTGGTTTTAACGTTGGATTTTTAGTCTTAGAGACCTAAGTTTTGGCGAATTCCGATTATTTCGGCTTGGATAAGTATCTTTTTCTTGGAATATTTTTTAGCACTGTGCTTTCCCTTTTTTTTGTCTTATTA